CACACACACACACACACACACACACACACACACACACACACACACACACACGTACAATTTTAGTCTATTCAATCCATGCCCAATCGTTCACACACACAGAGGGCTGTACCATTAGGGATGAGAATGCCTCCCAGCATGGTGCCAAAAACAATGCAGAGGGTGATCATCTTGAAGCGCAGAGGAGGCATGTAACCTCCGGCAGCAAATGTCCCATCTTTCTGCTGTAAGACGGAAACAAAGATGTGTGAAATAAAAAAATAGGAAAGAGGAATAAAACACACTCGAATATACGACTCGGGGTAATCAACAATCTTACATTTCAAAACTGAAGTTCATGTCCGAGTCTTGACCTCATGGAGAACATACAAAAGGCCATCATCTGCGTGCTTTGTGGTTCTTATAGAACTACTTATATTCCTTCTGTTATTAGCCACAACTCTCTGCATTAGGTCATCTGGACTTTTTTGTTGTTGTTGAGATGTTTCAGCCTTCATCAAAAGGACGTCATCAATCCGAGGAGCCACAAACAAACTGAGTCCCACAAGCAGCACACTCACACAGTGGACCAACCAGTTTGCTGGTGATAAGATGGCTTCCAGGGCCCGCCCTCTGCCCCGTCGACTGCTCTGAGGCAGCCACAGCCAAAGTTGTTCAAAACATCAAAGTTCATGCTCAGTAATCCAGGTAGAAAATCCAAGAAAGTTCAGTCAGGTCATCTGGACGATTTCTTTATTTTTTGTTGTTGAGACATTTCGTTCTTCATCCATCAATCTGATGAAGTCATCGATCAAGTCCAGATGACCTGACTGAACCTTGTTGGATTTTCTACCTGGATTATTGAGCATAAACTTTGATCTCTGCATTAGCAAATTAAAAGACAGGCATCATCTATCTACCAAAATAAAGGCTTGACAGTCTTTGCAGAGCTGCATTTTGCACATTGTCCTTCATGCCAAGATTTCAAACAAAACAATTACAGCAATTTGGTCAAATTTTGAAAACAATATTAAATGCATCATCACAAGGTCTGTTCATGTTTGTGTTGAGGATTACTCTCAAATACTACCATAGCAACTTTTATTTCAATATCAGTTAAAAAAATGTAACTGTGAGGTTGGTTGCCAGTATGGATCATCTTAGTAAACACAATTATTTTAAATTGGGTTGACTCCAAAAGTTACAAACCGGATTCCAAAAAAGTTGGGACACTAAACAAATTGTGAATAAAAACTGAATGCAATGATGTGGAGGTGCCAACATCTAATATTTTATTAAGAATAGAACACAAATCACAGATCAAAGGTTTAAACTGAGAGAATGTATCATTTTAAGGGAAAAATCTGTTGTATCTAAATTTCATGGCGTCAACAAATCCCCAAAAAGTTGGGACAAGTCCATTTTTACCACTGTGTGGCATCCCCCCTTCTTCTTACAACACTCAACAGACGTCTGGGGACAGAGGAGACCAGTTTCTCAAGTTTAGAAATAGGAATGCTCTCCCATTCATGTCTAATACAGGCCTCTAACTGTTCAATCGTCTTGGGCCTTCTTTGTCGCACCTTCCTCTTTATGATGCACCAAATGTTCTCTCTAGGTGAAAGATCTGGACTGCAGGCTGGACATTTCACTACCTGGATCCTTCTCCTACGTAGCCATGATGTTGTGATTGCTGCAGAATGTGGTCTGGCATTATTGTGTTGAAAAATGCAGGGTCTTCCCTGAAAGAGATGACGTCTAGATGGGAGCATATGTTGTTCTAGAACCTGAACATAGTTCTCTGCATTAATGGTGCCTTTCCAGACATGCAAGCTGCCCATGCCACAAGCGCTCATGCGCTCATCGTTATATGCTCAATTTCCTTTTTCCAGCCACTTATTGCTACTTGTCCCAACTTTTTGGGGATTTGTTGACACTGTGAAATTTTGAATCAACATATTTTTCTTTTAAAATGTTACATTTACTCAGATTAAACTTTTGATCTGTCATCTATGTTATATTACGAATAAAATATTGACATTTGCCATCTCCACATCATTGCATTCAGTTTTTATTCACAATTTGTTTAGTGTCCCAACTTTTTTGGAATCCGGTTTGTAATTAATTATAGAAACATCCTTTGATTATTTTGAGTTTCATTAAAATCCATGTACTGGTTGATGAGATACTGTGCTGACAAACTAATGCACACAACCTCAAAAACAAACCAATTACATAATCACCCTTCTTTCATGTCAGTGAGTGATGAGCATAAGTCACACCTGAAACTAAAAGAGAGAACATGTTTGCAAACACTACCTACGAGTGGCCCACTAAAACTTTTTATAGCCCTGCCAAGAACTCAAACAAATCTGATGGATTTACTAGAAAATTAAATGACAAAAACTACTCCCATACCACTTGTTTTTCTATAAATGTTTTTCACATTCAATCCAAACTGGTCTGTGTATCATCTAAACTAGTGTGAGGATTTATTAATCAGGGGCTGTAGTCTAACTTTACAGTGTCTCTAAATGGATGATAATACTCTTATCAGGACTATGGAACTATCTGGCAGTGTCCACAGACAAACTTACCGCCTTCGTAGGCCTTCCTTATGCATATCTATTATAAATATGTTGCTATTTCTGTGCTGAGGTTATTTTAAATTTTTTTTCAACTTTCACACTGTGTCCCACCTAGGACACAGTGTGAGATATGATTTTTTTTTTCAAACCTCCTCTTTCCTCGTGTTTCTCTTTTCCTTATCTAAATGAAAAGGGCAGCGCCTCCCACGAGGCCGCAGCCTCAGACACCTCCATCTACCCATGTCTGTTTGTGTTTTACTTGGACGAGCTGTACTGAAATGTAATTTCGTTGTGCTTCGATGCAATGACAATAAAGCGGATTCTGATACTGGCAGCATAAAACCCTATCCCCAGTTACTCCCCGGGTGCTTTCAACAGCTGCCCACTGCACCACCTGGTGGTGGATGGGTTAAATGCAGAGAGCCAATTTCACCATTGTATGGGAACATACAATGATGACAACACATAACACATTATTATTATTATTATAAAAAATGCACATCATTTCTCTTTAATAAAATCAGTAGATGTAGCTGCATTATTAAAATCATAAGTACACCTGCCTTTAGTAATGAGTGTCTGTTCCTTGGCCAGTTATTTTAGCTACAGCAGCATGAACCTTGCTTCATGTAAAAGAGCTAATGCTTTTGAGCTGAGAACTACTAGAATGTAATGTGGTCATTAACACACATACTTTGCATCCATACCGTTTTGTCAACATAATTAAGTAACTTTCAGTTTCCATTCCAACCATGCCAACAAGCAAATTGATTTCTTTAATGCACAGAACAGTCCTCTCACAGGAAGTGTGTCTGAGTGGTTTCTGAGCCCACCTGCTGCTCAAAAAGCATGGTGTTGATAGCCTGGCGGCAGGGCAAGATCATCATGGGAAATCCAACAGCCACAGACATCATAAAGCCCACACGGATCATTTCGGTCACCAGGTTGGACGGAAAGTTCATCAGCACATTGCCAGCAATGTGCTCTGTGAAGCTGACATAGCCGAAGAAGCCCACCTGGTTAAGAGAAAGGTAATGTTGGGAAAAAAAAAGGGCACCAAGATAAATACTCACATTTTAGTTGTTTTTCTAACGAGAGCAGTCGATTGTAACAAACAGTTCTACCAGAGGAAAAAGTGATACAGTGTGTAAGTACAGCTCCACTCACAGTGATGTAAAATATGGTGACCACATTGAGAGCCGAGGTGAAGATGGTGCTCATGCGTTTGACTGACGGCTCATCCAGGCTGTCGTAGGTCGGCAGTACCTGCCTGTGAAAGACGAGCAGGCCATAACAACAAACTCAACATGCTGCTTGACACAAGACTGCTGCGGTTATATGCATTATTGCTACATCCTCTAAAGGAGCATTAACTGAGCCATTTCTAGCCACTAGGTCAAGATGTGTAGTCCCACAGATGCTCAGCAAATTGAGTTTATTTTTCTGTTCTCACAGCTGACAAAATGACTATCTTCCACTTAGTTTAAATTTAATAATGGAAACGGCTTTATAGAGTTCTTTAATGAGCAGCCATATGGGAACCCATTTGTGCTCCTTGGAAATCAAATGATGCATTTCTTTCCTCCTGTTCCTGTCAGCAGCACACTTAAGGTACTGATTTCTTTATCCTTTTGTCTCTCTAAAACCCTAACAAATGCTTATATTAAGAAAAAAAAAAGACTTTAAATATCTAAGAAACTGCAGTACTTGTTGGGATCTATCGATTTTCTTATAAATGCTTTTGCTTTCTGGGTCGCAGGGAGCTGGTGTCTATTTCCAGCAGTCACCGTGAGAGGTGGGGGGGACACCCAGGACATGTCTCGAGTCCATCACAGTCACATGAAGACAAATGAGACAACCATTTCAGTCTCACTCACACCTAGGGACAATTTAGTTACCAGTGAAAATAGCATGCATTTTTTCTGGTCTGTGGGAGGAAACTGGAGTACCCGGACAAACCCACGTTTGGACAAGAAGAACATACAAACTAGGAGGCCTGTCACGATAACAAATTTTGCTGGGTGATTAATTGTCTCAGAAATTATTGCGATAAACGATAATATCGCTTGGAATTTGACAATAATTAGTAATTATTGTCAAATTTAAGAAGAAATGTTGGCCAATTTGTTTTGCATATAGTAACATTTTTCAACCACTGGATGGCAGTATAAAAATGTCTAAACCGTTGGATGGATAGTGAGGGAGCGAGCAGCGTCTAAGAAAAATGAAAGGGAGCCCCTTGATGTGACATGGGCTGACTCTTCTTCCTTTTTTTTTGGTTCTCAAAATTTTGGACGCTCTGTGTTATTTGAGCTCTTTAGCATAGTATTTTTCACACAAAACTTTTAATAAAAAAAAATCAGTAAACAAGTTCTCAGCTTCTTTTTGCAGAGAAAAAATTTTTTTTACACAAAGGCACAGGTTTCAACTGTGAATTTTGGAGCTTCAACAAGACAGAGGTTTTGATTTATTGTTTATCGTGACAGGCCTACAAACTAGGCATATATTACTTGCCTTTATCTACACATATGTGACGCCTTAAGATATTCAGAGACCCTTCAACTTTTTGGGAAGTGGAGGAGGTTGTTTTCTAAGTATCTGAAGTAAATTAGTTTCTCCATGCCTATGTTACCATACAAGTATGATCTCATGGGCATTCAAGAACTGATGAAATTTCACCAAATTGTCTTTTTTCTAACTTTAGTTGCCTGGGGACTCGTTGTCTGGACCTGATTTAGTAGATTCCTGACTACAGAAAAAGCGCCACCCAAAGCTCATACAGTTGTGTTATAAAAAGTAGTTAACACAAAGGTTGTGAGAATGACAGTACATGCAAAATGGTAGTAAAATGAAAGAAACACGATGGCAGTGGAGTGCTGGGTGCATAAAGTGTTCCCAGTGTATGCATGTCCTGCATGTGTGTGGCACAGTAAGGGTGACAGTAGTCAAGGCTGGTTGAGGTTGGACCTGAGACTGCCCGTCTGTCTCTCCATCATTTCCTGTTCTGTGCAATAAGAGACTGCAGGCGTGTGGAGGGAACCATCGACACATTAACCAGTAAATTTACAGGCCTTATATATAACAGCGAGTGCCTGACAGGTTTTAGAGCATTATAAACTTTCTTGGCAGATTCTTTTCCTCGCCTCCTTTTTCGAGTACAAAAGAAGAACCACAGAGCAGAAATGAACGAGGGAGCAAGAAGCCATAACTTTCTCTTTCCCTTGTTCCTTCTCCGCCAGTCTCACTTTCACACACACTGATTTTATTAGCTCATGCTGTCCCTTGATGCCATTTCTTGACGCTGATTTAATCCGTAAACCAGTAAATCTTACAGCCAAGGTTAAATAAAACTCTATAAGGTTAGCCTAAAGCTAAAATATCTAATAGTCACTCAACAGTCCTGACTCAACGTCCTAATGTTCTTTAACAACCTTAAAATTCAGTAGCATGCAAAAATCTGGCCAACGCTAGTAAAATGTGTGTTTCTAACATACAGGAGTAAAAAAATAAAAAAGATGCTAAGCAAAATGTAGGCACCCTTTATCTTTAAACATCCACGGCTTTTGTATGTTTATCACAGCCTGCTGTAAATCTTTCCGTTACAGAAAGAGACTGTTTTATTCTCTCAGGAAAATTATTATACTTATGTGAAATTATTTTCCATGTTGCATTTACAGTTTGTTTTTTGTTTTCAAGATTTCTAATGTTTGATAAATCAAGGATTTTAGGAGCCATGGTTAATTGCTCAGCTCAAGCCCCTTTGTGAAGTGTTAAAGATTATAATCCTTAAAAAAAAAACTGTTATTTATTTAAACAGACTTGTTGGCTTCTAGAAGCGGCCCAAATTCAATTTGAACCTCATCAGCACCCAGACAATTTTCCTAAAACCCACCAGGATTATTTACAGGGGTCAACATAAGAGGTTTCCATTTGTCCGGCAAACTATTTTTGTCTCGGACAACCAGATCTCGCCTTGAGGTTGTCTGGTGGACAACCAAGTGAAATAGACACGGATCCGTCACTGTGACAGATTTCAGTCATCTGTAAAAATGAAAGGGCAAAAAATAAATAAAAGTGTGGTTTATTGTGATCGGTTTAAAGCAATCCAATCTAATAATGATACAGGGATTAAACTGGTGCTGCTTTCAACAATTGAAGAGAACCACACCCGCAGTTTTACCTAATCAGAGCAGAGCAGGTGGTGCCGTCTGATACATGGCAGGTGTGCTCAGTGTTCCCAATTTAAGGACCCTGCTTACTCCAGCCGAAGTGACGAACTCGGTTCTCGACATAGTTGTGTAACAAAAATTGTGTAGTTTTGTTCTCAGATAGTTTCGCCCACCCCTTCTCAACACGAGGACTGGGCCAAACTTTTTCCTCACAGGCGCACACACCAAGTATTGTGTCATTGATCGGACGTTTGTGGACGTCTTTGTCAATGTGGAAATGTGCTCGGACATTCAGTTGTATGACTCTTCAATAACACTGAATTAGCCAAATGGACAAAAAAAAATCCTGGATGGCGATCGTGCAGACATCATGTATGGAAGAGTCAGTCTGCTGACAAGTGCAGCACTTTCTTCATGATAGATGTGTGGTCAAAAGGTGGATGCAGGGACTGAATGGAGACCGGCGGGAAGAACCCTGTGTGGCGACATATTACAGCGGGAGGGGTTCCCCAGGATATCTGCGCCTGTGTCTCATGGACTATGAAAGGTGTATGTGCGTGAAAATGAACGTCCCACAAACACGTCACCGCGAGTCGACTGTTCGGCTTCAGATGGAGTATGCTGGGCGCTTGGAGAGAGGCTGAAGGTGAGAGCACCAGTCAGTGTTTCCAGAAACGGGTTAAATCATGTCATCTGGACCAGTTTCTTTAAGAAAGAAACGTTTCGTCTCCCATGTGGAGAAGACTTCATCAGTCTACAACCTGCCAACCAGATCAGGTAGTCTTTGCTGTTTCAAGCCAACCTCCTGTTGGAATCTCAGAAGTAGACTTTTAACATGTGCAAAACAATCAATCATGTACAACAATCAAATGTTTTAGGCCAGGTGGCCGACTTGCTACTCACAGAAACAGCCTGAGGACAACCAAGGACAAACTGGTTCAGAAAAAGGTTGTAAGCTCAATCATCCAGGTAGATAACAACAAAAAAGGTTAAATTGTGACACCATTCTGTGTACTTTTACTAAAGTCATGTACACAGTATGATAAGTGCCCTGTATGCAGGAAAAAGCTCTCAAATGTGTGTGTGTGTGTGTGTGGGGGGGGGGGGGGGTGCTTAGGTAATCAAGTGTAGAACATTTAGCAGTCAAAAGATTATTTTTCTTTTTTTAATCTTTGTCTTAAATACGTTGCAAGTGCCTCTCTTGCAAAGTCTGATGACGAGGATGAGGAAGTTGCATTAGAGCAGCTCGTGAAAGACTCTGCCACTCATTAGCTTGGAACTTCCAGCAGTCCACAAGATGGCTGAGAACTTTTTGAAACTTTGTATATAGTGCAATATCCTTGTGAAAATTAATTGAGATTTTTTTTTGTCTTTACTATTTTTATACCGGTGGCAGAACCAGAAATTCTACTAGACACTCTGAACAATTTCCTTACGTCTGCCTCTGATTTAGATACTGGTTTGAAAACATTATGGTTTTCAATTTTTTTTATTTTTTTTTAGGTTTTCTTTTTTTTGGTGAGACGACTCAAAAGCTGCTGCACAGATTGAACCTTAAAAATTAACCATTTTGTAGTTTAATGTACTGTACGGGCTGTACGGACATATTCTCGTATCTTGGTACAATAATAATAAATGATAATAAAAGCTTATTCTGATTCCAAAACTGAGGCTCTAACTTGTCATTCCAAGAATTATTTGGTAGTTCTTATGACGTTTGGTTTTCTTAGCTTTGATGGCTGTTTTTTGAAGATGGTTTGGATTTAAATTGTCAGAAGAGCAGCAGAAAAATGTTTTCTGTAGACAATGCCGAAAACAAGTCCCGACAAAAGGTCGGCACTATGAATCTTTTTCACCATTTAAAACAGCGCTACAAGTGGAGTATGAGGCTTGTGTGAAACTGCAGCTGCAGCTGCGACTGTGTTTTCAGCCTCCTTCCCTGAGACAAACCACAGGTCAAAACTCCTTTAGCCGAGCTGTGCCTTACGAGAGGAACAGAGCCGTAGCATGACATAAATGAAGCAGCAGCTTATATCGCTAAAGACACGGTCCCAGTCTCAACTGTGGAACAAGACGACTAAAGTTAGCCGTCTTGTTAGCTGCTAAGGGCCGTGTCTTTAGCGATATGATAAGCCACTTCTTTATTAATGTCGCAACACGTCTCACTGTAAGACCTGAAAATCTGTGTAGTTCTTTTTCCGGCCCGTCTGCGCCGCCACCTTCCTCCCTCACTGAATACAAACACGTGTGGCCTCACACACGCTTACTAACATTGTGAAGGCGGCACAGCTGAAGAGGATTATTATTTAATGTATAATAAATAATGTATTACTTTAATATATAATAAATGTCTAAAAAACAAACTTTAATATATGTAAATAGTTTTATTTATTAGACATTTATTTTGTACAGTTACAGCTGTGGTTAAATGTGCCTGTGTGACAAAGCTTCGACTAACAAATATATTTTTGTTATTACTTTATGAAAAGAAAAAAAATCGAGATATATATTGTACATCATGATTTATCTTAAAGATATTGAGATATTAATTTTGGTCCATATTGTCCAGCCCTAATTTGGACTGAATAAACTTGTTTTTGTGATTCAGAAGGAACTAACTGAAATGAGTCACTATACACTTTGCAACAAACATTTCAAAAGCAAAATCACTGTTTGCTTCAAGTTAGATATTGACTACTCATAAATACTACATACAATCCTACTTAAAAAAAGAGCTTAACCCTTGATGGTTTCGAAGAGTTCATGGCCTGATTTTGCCAAACAAAGCTATGACACTTACATTTTCAATATGTTTTCTACTTAATATATCTTTTGAAATTCAATTATATATATCCTGGTTTAATTATTCATGTTAACAGACATTGTGGCCAGCGTGCCCAAACGTTCGAATGCCACTGACTCTTCGCAGTAGAAGCAGATATTTCTAACGCTTTTATGTCCTTGTTATGAGCCAACTACTGCGCACTATCCACTAGTCACCCCCACCCCACAAAAAAAAAAGAAGACAGGACGAGCCCCCACCCTGTCATTGTCATAATGGTGATGTTAAGTAATGTTTTAACTGAAAGTAAACACATTTCATGAACGCAATAAAAATCCAATGTGCTAAGAGCTATTTAATCAGCCTGTGAAAACATCAGTGTGTCTGTAAGATGGCGGCAGTCCAATGTGTTGATTAGTGGCTTGGCTTAAGCTGCCTGCTGCCTAACCGAGCGCTTCCCTCGCTCAGTCTGACCACGGGCCAAGAAATACCCCTGCCAAATATCACTTAGCGCAAATAGTGAGAAGTGACGCACAAAACACACAAACGCAAGCTCATACTTCCTTTCACTTTGGGTGACATGCACATTCCCACCACACTGTGTTTTGTTAGTTTTGTGCGATTACGTTAATTAAAAGTCAGCTTCAAGTCTCCAGGCTGCATTCATCCACTACTATCACCTATACAAACAAAACCCCCCACCATCCAAACATCTGGCCCTTAATGACATCACCAAATCACCCTAATCCTTCCTCAGCACTGAACTACATCCACCAGGACTCTCCATGCTGCTTCAACCCATTCAGCCCAGCGCAAACCCAGAGCAAGACCGACTCGTAACGGACAGCAAACAGCCGGAGTGATCGAGCATGAAGGGTGAAGGAACGGATCAGAAAAAACCCTGAACGTTTCTCCACTGAATTAAAAAAAAAAAGTAAATGAAATCCACAGACAATATTTTATCACGTTGCCTATCTGTTGTATAATATTCGATTTCAGCTTTTGAAATTTAACCCTTTTGAAACATTTGCTAGTTTTAGCTGTCAGACTGTTTGATTCTCAGCACTGAAGGATAAAAACGAACAAAGCAGACAAAGCAAGTGTAAGTCTCAAGTTATTTCTAGAGTAGGAGGTTCAAACGATGGAGCCGACTCTAAAAACATGTTTCAGGATGCCAAATCAACCCCTTTACTTCTCAAATCTGTGATTTTCATAACTTCACTAACGTTGCAAAGGAATGTTGAAAGGATGCACTTTCAGTTGTATTTGACTTAAACAACAAAAATCCACTTACATGGTGAAAAAGCTCATGTATTCAGGACTTGTCCAACAATCAGTGAGCCCCTGACTAAAGTACTGTTTAGTATATGATTTAAAGGGGTGGATGGGCATGAGGAGTACTTACGACTGACAGGCGAAGGCCATCCCACAGATGGGGATACAGCGAAACACGCCCTCCCAGCGCACCACACTGACCTGCCCTAGCCACCAGCCGCTGAGCAGCCCGTGTTTGAACGAGGACAGCACCATCTGAGAGGAAGGAGGTGGGGAGGAGTGGGAGGGGGGGAGGTTACAGCCCAAACCAAATGAAAACAGCTGGAGGGAGAACATGAACAGCAAAATGGGCGGAGGCTGCATCCATGTTGACAACTCAATGACTCATGAACGAGGGGTCGAAAACAAAAATCAAAAGAAAAAAAATGAAAGGAAACTCCATATTGGAAGGAAAAACCTGCAAGGCTGAAAAAAATAAATAAATAGGGGAAAAGTAAATAAAATATTCAGGAGTTCTACAAAAAAAAACAACTCAGGTTTCTCCCACCAGCATGTGTTTCCTATGTCTTGCTCCTTTTATTGCCCTAAAATAATCCACCGCAGCAAGCTTGCTCATCCTTCTTTGTCACTGAACGGAGAGCAGCAAAGTTAGCATTTATTTCATTATGTCACCACCCCCCCCCCCCCCGCCTTATTACTACTGCCACCACAGACACATGCACAGATTTTAAATGGCTCAAACCAGAGGTGAACAATGGAGGTGAAGGAAGAGGACTGAGCAGAATGTTCCGGCAGGCATGAGGAGGGTTTATGGAGTGTAAAGCTGCAGAGGAAACGCAGGGCTTCCTTCACTCTCCACCACCCCCCACTGCCCTTACAGGGGTGATACCTTTTTGGGGTGAGGTTACTTACGGGTGACAGCAGAAGGTTGTGGCGATAATGGGCAGGCACTGAATGACGCCCTTGAAGCGCCACAGGTGCACCTGCTCCAGCCAGGAGCCCGAGATTATGCCGTAGCGCAGAGACGACAACACTATCTACAGCACCAGAAGCAAAGAGAGCGACCGGGGGGGGGGGGGGGCACGAAAGGTGCAAAGGATGGGAGAGGTAAAGGGGAGTGGGAAAGGTAGGACAAGGAAGAAAAAAAAGAGGAAAACAAGTGAAGTTATATAATAAAGAGTGAGGAAATAGAATTGATTAGGGGGAGGATGGAAGGAGGGAGGGAAGGAGATACATCACTGTTAGAGGGTCAGGGGTCACGCCAGGGTCAGGCCTGGATCTAAAGCTGAACACACACCACTGTTCTAGGTTATCAACATGCTTCACAAGAAAGACGACGCACACAGAACACAAATGGCACTTTGAAGACTTTGGAAGCAGCACAGTTCAATGAAACACGAGTTGTACGCACGAACGATAAAACTGTGCGCACATCCAGAGAGTAAATCAGCTAAACCATAAGAGACGGACAACTGCTGCAGAACCGTTAAGACCTAAACGTGTAGCATGTGGCATCAGGGTAAACAAACTGCACAATGATTTGTCTGGCTTTAAATCGTCTCGTCGTATTCTCCTTAAAGAAAGGGAACAACTCGGGACATCTTCTAGGTTAAATAAGCTGGAGTGAACAAAACAAGCAACCGTAGCGCCTACTTTACGACGGGTCACTTATAAAGTTTCACACTCTTCTTATTTTCTGCCTCTTCATCTCAAATTTGCAACACTTCTTGTTTCTGTATCAATGCTGAGAATTCACACTTGCCGATTCAACGGCTACGTAAGAAGGGTGATCTTTCATTTTTCAAAAGGCGTGCGTCATAAATTCTCCAAAACAGAATACGACAACCAATTCTTTCCCTCACTTCTTTTTGTCAACTACAACTTCTTCAGTTTAGAATCTGATGCTACCAAACAAATGTTATTGGACTCTTCCAAATTAATTAAACCCTAAAAAATGTTGTTTTTTCCAAACCAGAAGACACTAAACACATTCTAATCATTCTTATCATAGATCTTCGTTAAAGCACACAGAACTTTTCAGTGGAAAATATCTGCATTGGTCTTTGACTCATTAGAAACTGAAATTATGCATTTTAAAAAGACATACATGTAAAACTTGTTAATCTAAACAAAAAATAAACAGTTGCAAGTTCATGATCTTAATAAGCTGTACTTAAACTTAATTAAATACATTTCATGTACCCTAATTTTTTTGCTTTTGAACGCAAACAAAACTGATCACTGATGTTTTAGTTTTTGGACCCGAGCGTCTTAGGAATACATTTTTCAGTCTTTCTCCCTCCTTGGACGACATTAATCTGGCCTCAAGCTCTGATGTTAAAAATCTTGGAGTTTTTTTGATCAGGACATGTCTTTTATCCCCCACATTAAAAACATTATTAGAACTGCCTTCTTCCACCTGCGTAATATCACTACAATTAGAAACATCTTCTCTAAAATGATGCAGAAAAACTGGTTCATGCATTTGTCACGTCTAGACTGGACATTGTAGAGTAGGAGAGATCATATCTCCAGTTTTAGCTTCTCTCCATTGGCTCCCTGTCAAATCCAGAAGTGAATTCAAAATCTTCTAACCTACAAAGCTCTCAACAACCTAGCTCCATCTTAAACTACAGATCTTAATGTTCCATATTTTCCTAAAAGAGCACTTTACTCTCAGACTGCAGGCTTACTCGTGGTTCCTAGAGTTTCCAAAAGCAGAATGGGAGGAAGATCTTTCAGTTATCAGGCTCCTCTCTTGTGGAACAAACTCCCAGTTTCTGTCCATGAGACTGACCCATTGTCCAGTTTGAAGACTGGGATTAAGACTTTCCTTTTTGATAAATCCTATAGTTAGGGTTGGCTCATGCTGCTTTAGACTGAGACTAAAAGAGGACAAATTGACCTCATGTCCTTAAATTAATTGTTAAAATTGAATAGTTTTAATTTGATACTAATTATATAATAACACATGATTCTTGATCTGCCATTGTGTATCTGTTCCTCTCAAATGCTTGCCCTGAGCTGGTTCTGCTAAAGGTTTCTTCCTCATGAGGGAGTTTTTTCTTTCCACTGTCGCCTTCATGCTCGCTGAAGATAAGAGTTCAGTGATGGAGTTAAATTCAAAGCAGTCTGCTCCTCAGATAAATCATCCATCCATCCATCCATCCATTATCTTTACCCGCTTGTTCCATTTTGGGTCACGGGGGTCGCTGATGCCCATGTCCAGCAATCACTGTGCGAGGGGCGGGGTACACCCTGGACGGGTCGCAAGTCCATCACAGGGCCACATAGAGACAAACGAGACAAATAACCATTCACTCTCTCATTCACACCTAGGGACAATTTAGAGTTACCAATCAGTCTAACATGCATGTTTTTGGTCTGTGGGAAGAAACCGGAGTACCCGGAGAGAACCCACGCATGCACGGAGAGAACATGCAAACTCCACCCAGAAAGGCCCCTGGACCGGGGTTTGAACCAAGGACCTGCTCACTGAGAGGCAGCAGCTCTACCAGTTGCGCCACCGTGCAGTCCCAGATAAATAATGTTAAATTATTATTTTTAAAATACGAATGTTTCTGTTCAGTGCCCTGAAATGACTTGGGTTATAATTTGGCGCTATATAAATAAACTGGATTGAATTACTAAATCACCACAGACCATAACTTTCATATTTCAGAATCCAGCTTCTGTTGAGAACATTGACTAGTAAAGCAAAAATAAATAAAATGTCATAATTAAAAAAAAAACTACCTTCCTAAAAAACTAAGTAAAACATATTTAAGACTGAAGTTTCACATTAAAAGCATCACCTATGAGAATTTCTGGTTTAGCATACTGGGTTTTGTTTTTCCATTAAAAAGAACTTGTCCAAAACTGATTTTTCTTTTGACGTTGCTTCCTGAACTCTTCAACGTTGCACGCTGTGCCCAAATGTACTGCCGTCACCTCCAGTTGTTCCCTGATGCTCGGCTAGGGTTCAGATAGTGCAGCAACTGTTCTGTCTCAAATGATTTAGGGTGGATTTGCTCTTTAAAAGAGGAGCAAGACAATAATGTGTTGGCAAGTAAAGCAGACTGGTGCAATGGCTCCAGTAAGAAAGAATCAACACAAAATACAACAAATCACCATTTGTCCAAAACAAACTAAGTAACAAGCTGAACAGAAAATGACATTCACATGAATTTTAAACTTAACACGTTTTTATGAAAATACAGAAAAACATCACACAAGAAGTGTTTCACAAAAATATGACGATGTGCTTCAAAACATTCATATGAGCTCAGTGCACGTTGCAGGAATATGATTTGATTGTTATGGAGGATTGCACTATTAAAAATAAATTTAATTGGAAAAAAAGGGGTTTAATATTTAAGCCTATTTGTTAAATTTTTTTTTGCCACAGATTAAAATAGAATTAAATTACATTTTGCCCAGCCCAAAAGGTTTAGGCTCCAATTTAAAACTTTCTAAAACTACTTTTGAAGTTGACCTCCTAAAGTTTGGTTCTTTCTGATATAAATTCAATAAAACAGTCCACTCAGTTAAGAGAAAATTAAGAGGCAAGCTTATTTTTAATTTAAACAAATTTTAAAAAGTAAACTTTTATTTAGACTGGATCAAACCAAGCAGACACTTCCTTCCTATGATGCCGGTTTGATCCTGTCATTTCAAACATCTTTTCTAAGATGAGTGCGTGTCTGACCGACAACCGTCCATTAACAACTCAGTCATGTCTAGAATACAAAGAATAAATCATGACTGATGTATTAGAAGCTCCAAATAAATTAATTTTTATTAGTGCAAACCATAAATGTACTGCTAGTTTGCAGCTTGACCGCTTTTGATCTGTTGTAGAGCATTAATGTGATAAATCACTTATATTTTAGTGATACAGCCTCTTAAAAATCACAGGTGGAGCTAAATCTCAACTGCAACTTATTGACATGCACGGCACGCACACAGAGCAGCTGAGTGGCAGCGGGCTCACCGTGAACATGAAGAGGGTGTAGAAGATGAGCGCCATAGCTGAGAAGGACTGGATGGAGGACATCATGTTCCTCTGCAGGCTCAGAGGGAGCACGATGAACAGCGACACGGCGATCAGCAGCAGCACGCGGAAACTACCCGTCACCTTCACAGAAGCAAAGCGACATGATGGAAAACAAGTTTTAAGCCTCTGTTGGGTCCGACTCCTGCCCTACTTATTTACTACGAGTTCGGTTGGTTTTAGAAGCTAGTACAGGTTTAACGGACAAATAAAACAAATCCCAAACCTGTAAACCCAACAGCTGAGCGAAGAAATTGGAGCCCAAGTCTGCGATGACAACATAGAAGGCAATACAGGTCCCCAGCATCAAACCAATCATACTGCGGGGAGAGAGAAGTTCAAGATCCAGCCGTCACCACAGATAGGATTTGTGACACACACTTTGTTTTGTATTTGAACTCTTGTTTTTGAGTTTTAAATCTACTTCTGATATTTAAACAAATGTAAGCTCTCATTCTAGTCGTCTCACATCTAGACTGTCTATGTGCAAAATAAATAAATAAATAAATGTGTCTGCTGAGAACAAAAACATTTAATCAACGCCAACTTGCCTCGTTTCCACCAGAGTTTTTCCCGGCTTTCCATAAGCATGGAAGGCTGCACAAACCAGAGATATCAGTGTGAATGTTGTCAGGACAACCAGGCACAAGTGGACTAAAATGTAGCAAAAATCACACCAGTTTAACTAATAATTAACTAGTAGCACAAGATTGAAGCCTAAAATGCAAAAAAAAAAATCTTATTTATTCTTGTGGGAAAAAAGATTTTATTTGCCATTTGATGCCATTTTATCTTTTTTATATCAAACTTGAAAAATAAAAATCTTATTTTGGTTTCAGCCGGTAAAAACAAAGACTACATTTGTTCATCCTTTTACGTACCCAGGCCAGCATAGGTCCTTCGTTTGGTGTAGCTGGCTGTGTGGACCAGAAACATGCAAGACTTGTGGGTCATCCACGAACAGAAGAACAGCAGGAGAGTTCCCAGCACTATCCCACACTGACAAAAATAATCAAGAAAGAATAAAAGAGTTACTTGTTTTTGTTAATTATAATGTCAGTCCAGGAGCAGCATACATCTTACCACTAGAGGGAAGAAAGAAAAGTAACTACATAAATGCCCACAAAGTCCAAAACAATACTGAAGCCAGACTAACCAGGTTGACTGCTCTTTATTGTTCTGTTTATCAGCCTTAAAAGTATTTCAGCAATGCTGATCATTCCAGAATTTAAATAATTGTTCCCGTCACCTGGTCAGTTGAACATAAGACGTTTTAAATTTGTAAAAAGAAAAAAAATAAGGATCCAGATCATGCATGTTTTATTAAGCGATTCTATTTTCCCCCATTAGTTCAAACAGAATTTCTGAATTACAGAACAAATTCTACACTGTTAATCAAACACTAATAATAATAATACTAATAATAATAATAATAATAATAATAATAATAATAATATATATATATATATATATATATATATATATATATATACACATTTGTTTACAATAATAAAAAAAAACTATAATTAGAGTGTGATTATTGTCAAAGAATGTGAAAGTAATTCATTGAAAACAATTTAAATTTATCTTCCTGATACAAAAGCAGAATGAAACAGGAAGTAGGCAGCTGAAACGCATCAAAAAAAGAATCCAAATTCTCCCGTTATATTTTGTCTCGTTTTACACAGTTAAGATGAACTTTTTGTTTTTTGTTCCCTTCCGTAAAGTCCTTGGGTATTTGTTTGTTTCCCTTTTCCATTTTTGCCAGCACTGGAAGTCAGAAAGTTACTGGCGTTTGTGTCAAAACCTATTCAAAGATATTGCATCAGCAAACTGATAACATGGGATGAGCACAGACGCTGTCCAAAATAACAAAAAACTAATCTCTTATTATATTAAGGGTTTAAGAAACAAGAATCAGTCAAAATTAGGTGCAAATATATGCCACTGTTGCAGATTATAATGTCCCAATGTGAAAAGATGTTATTTTTGAGCTGTCCAAACACTAAATCAACCCCAATTTTTAACATGTTTTATGACATTAAGATAAACTTTGATGCTTACTCCTGTAAAAAATTTAAAATGTAAGCAGGTTAAATTCATTCTCCAGTTATTTTAAGTTTTACATTGTTGTCCTGATGCATGCTCAATAATCCAGGTAGAAAAATCTAAAGAAAGTTAAATCTGGTCCTCTGGATATTCAAAAAAACAAACAAAGCAAAAAAAAACAACAACAAAAACTGGTTGATCCACTCTGAGAAGGTGTTATTTATAAGACTGAGCTGAATACAGCACCTCAGACTGAGGAAGTCTTTCGGATGAGAGACGAAACGTTTCTACTTTTTTGTTGTTGTTGTTTTGCTTTGTTTTTTGAATGTCCAGAGGACAAGATTTAACTTTTTTTAGATTTTACATTATTGGTTTAAAGTACCGGTAATCGGCTTAACGGTGTGTTTTGTTCGGTTTTTCTTGGGTTTCAAAATAAAGCTCAACTTGTTTTTTTCTATTAGGGGGTATTTTTGAAACAATGCCTGAACTCACATGTGCAAAAGACCCACTTAGGACTCCTAGACATTCCTATAAACAATGACATTGTATATGTATAAGAAGTACTTTAAGTCTATAAAGTCTAAAGTTCAAAAGATGTGAGTAAAACAGCTAAACAGACTTTTCTTATGCATAAAAGATGAAAACACCAACTTGCTCCCATTGGCAGCACCTTGCATACTTGTGTCAACACAAACAGGATCATATTGTAAACCCAGCAAGATGTGACATTTAGGAGATGGGAAATGATGGGAAAGGTCCTGGAATGGGTGTAGCTGTGGTGTAAACTTCTCCCCACCTGTTTGAAGCAGAATGGCATGGTGAGCACACTGACTCCAACGATGCTGTTCACCACGTTCATGATCAGGCCCCAGTTAGACGCCGTCATTTTCAGCTGCTGGGTGACGCTTCTTATAAGACAAATTAAAGAGGTGGAGGCTGCTGCACCGTGAAGCCCACCCGAGGGTTCGTCGCCGTCTAATCTCTGGGTTCACAAGCTGCGGGTTGATTTTTCTGACTCCGTCGATCAATGACGTGGCGCTCTCTCTAGGAGGAACATGGACAGATGCGTTTGACACATTTTCACCCGTTTCTTATCGAAAACAGCCTCTCGTTAAACACACACTCTCATTAAAACACACACATGACTGTAACAAAACGCTTTAAAACACATTTAAAGCCACCGATAATATTTTCATTAACTTACTCTGCCCTCCGCCTCGCTGTCTTTGCTACGTTATCATCGGTAACTCCGCAGCAGAAACCATTTGTGGTTAAATTACAGAGTTTCCGTGTGTGTGAGAGTAAGTTGGGAAAATAATTAATATAATAACAAATCCTAGAGAGCTGTTGTGCTCAACGTGTATCCAGGAAGTAGACTCTGAAGTCCAGGAAGGGAAGAAGTCGAGTCAGCCTGGAGCTCTCAGGGCGGCTCAAATCCTTGATCGCCCACTAGTGGTCAGACAGCGGTACTGCGTCGTTTGTCTCCACCTCTTTTTCATCCATCAGTTGCGTAATTTCTTCTTTTTTTTTTAGCTTTTAAGTAAAGATAAAATAGCAAATAACCAATAGGTGTCTAGTATATATTGAATAATGTGCAAAAGCTTCAAATAATCCCTCACTTATTCATTCTTTGCTTGCAAGGAGCCAAAATTTCTTGCAATGTCTTCAGTTGTCTGTGCTTTCTGAAGCTTTTTCAGAGATTCTTCCCTAAACTTGAGCTGCTTTTTCACATTTTTCTTTGAACCTTTTGACCCGATTGCAACAGCATGTTGTGCAGTGTGTGCTTAAAGATCAAGAAACATGCAGATATAAAAGTAGATGTATCAGATAAAAAATGAATAAATAATTATAATGAAATAATTAAACTTGTGTGCTAAACGTAGGCTACTAAATACCTCTCTACATTTGTTCAGTGTGCTCGTGTGCACTCTTTTTTAAAATAATTTTGTTAAAATAATTGTATTAGTGTATTTTTGGTTTTAATATTTTAGTATTAATATTTTAGTATTAATCTTGTTGATGCTGTCGTCTGTGTATAACAAAACTGCTGCTGCTGTGAACCTGTAATTTCCTGCAAAGGATTAATAAAGTATCCATCCATCCAAAATAACATATCTACAGCAGATTACCCAGATCACCCATCAAGCACATTATTTTATCAACTGAAGTTATTGAAGTTCCATGATTTGGTAGATTATAGTATTTTATCAGTTATGTACAGGGCTCAAAATAACACATTACCTTTAAATATCCAAAGAAATTTTGTTAAAAGGCAAAGTTGTTATAATCTTAAGGGGATATAAATATTTGTCAAACCAAAATTCAGAACTAGTCTGAAGGGAAGGTCTACCTCAATCCAAGGAGTTGGATTGTGGAATGGTCTAGAGAGTGATGTGGAAAAATGCCAAGTCAATGTGTACATTTAAGAAAAAGATCAAAACTGAATTGTTAAAATATATATATATATATATGAAGTAGCTTAGTGTGTTTTTGTATTAGA